TGGAAAACTTCCAACAGGGTACTCAAGGCCAATCACAAACAGAATGGGACGTTGGCCTGCACCAGAGACCATCCAAAAGACTGGAGTCCTAGCAGATCTACCTGATACATAGAAACAAGTCCAAACAGGCAGCCAAAATGGGGAGACAAAAAAACAAGCCCCAAATGAAAGAACAAAAGAATTCTCCAGAAGAGCTAAATGAAATGGAGATAAGCAATCTATCAGATATAGAATTAAGAATGCTGATCATAAAGATGCTCAACAGCATGAAAAAAGATATAGAAATTATAAAGGAAATTAAGAATGACATAGTAGAAATGAAAAAATATTGGAAGGAATGAAGAGCAGATTAGGGGAAGCTGAGGGATGGGTCAAAAGACAGAGTAGAAAAAAATCACTCAATCAGAGCACCAAAAAGAAAAAACAATTAAAAAAACAGGACAGTTTAAGGGAGCTGTGGGACAACAGGAAACATAACAATATTCACATCATAGGAATGCCAGAAGAGGTTGAAAGTAAGCACGGGTTAGAGAACCTATTTGAAGAAATAATGGCAGAACACTTCCCTAACCTGGTCAAGGAAAAAGTCACAGAAGTTCAGGAGGCACAGAGTCCTAAGCAAGAACCCAAAGAGGCCCATGCCAACACATAATTAAAATGCCAAAAATTCGGCCTAGCCAGTTCAGCTCAGTGGTTAGAGAGTTGGCCTGTGGACTGAAGGGTCCCAGGTTCATTTCTGGCCAAGGGCATGTAACCTCTGTTGAGGGTTCAGTCCCCGGCCTGTCCAGTGCATGTGGGAGGCAACCAATCAACATGTCTCTCACATTGATGTTTCTCTCTCTCCCTTCCACTCTCTCTAAAAAGCAATGGAAAACATATCCTCGGGTGAGGATTAAAAAAGTAATAAAAATTTTTAAAAAATAAAACGCCAAAAATTCAAGACAAAGAATATTAAAGGCAGCAAGTGAAAAGCAATGTGTTACCTACAAAGGAGCTCCTGTAAGGCTGTCAGCTGATTTCTCATCAGAAACTCTACAGGCCAGAAGAGAATGGCATGAAGTATTCATGATAATGCAAAACAAGGATCTGAAACCAAGAATACTCTATCCATCAAGTCTATCATTCAAAATAGATGGTGAAGCCTGCCTGGCATGGTTCAGTGCTTGAGTGTTGACCTATGATCCAGGAGATGGTAGTTTGATTTCCGGTCAGGGCACATGCCCAGGTTGTGGGCTCAATCCCTGGTTGGGGGCATGTAGGAGGCAGCCAATCAATGCGTCTCTCATCATTAATGTTTCCCTCTCTCTCCATTTCTCCCTCTGAAATCAATAAAGATATATATAGATACACACACACGCACACACACATATACATATACAGATATATATATATAGATGTATATATATATTTTAAAAGATGGTGAAATAAAGAGCTTCCCAGACAAAAAAGTCTGAAGGAGTTTATCACTACCAAACAAGCATTGCAAGAAATGTTAAAGGGACTGTTGTAATAAGAAGTTGAAATAGAGAGAGAAAAACACAGCCATAAAAAATAAAATGGCAATAGATAAGTACCTATCAATAATAACCTTAAATATAAATGAATTAAATGCTCCAATCAAAGGGACATAGGGTAGCTGAATGGATAAGAAAACAAGACCCAAATATATGCTATCTACAAGAGACCACCTCAGAACAAAAGACACACAGGCTGAGGAAAAAAAACAACTTCTGGAGGACTTTAAAGGAGAGATCGACAGCAATATAGTCATAGTAGGGGAGTTTAACACCCCACTGACTTTCCTGGATAATCTTCTAGACAAAAAATCAACAAGGAAACAGTGATTCTAAATGACACAGTGATTCTAAATGACACACTAAATCAGATGGATTTAATTGACATTTACAGAACATTTCACCCCAAAGCTGCAGAACAGGCAATCTCCTCAAGTACACATGGGACATTCTCAAAGATAATCCACATGTTAGGAAACAAAACAAGTCTCTACAAGTTTAAGAAGATTGAAATCATATCAAGCATCTTCTCAAACATTTGAACCATGAAATACTATGCAGGTGTAAAAAATAAGGATCCCTTACCCTATGAGACAGCGTGATGGGACCTAGAGAGGATTATGCTAAGCGAAGTAAGCCAGTCAGAGAAAGACAAGTATCACATGACCTTACTCATATGTGGAATCTAATGAACAAAATAAACGGATGAACAAAATAGATCCAGAGACACAGAAGCATGGAACTAACTAATCTCAGAGGGAAGGCAGGGGTGGGTATGTGGGGAGAGCTTAACCTAAGAACTTATAAGCATATATGCGTAACCCATGGACAGAGACAATAGGGGTGCATGGTGGAGGGGATCAATGGGGTAAAAAGAGGGACATTAGTAATACTTTCAACAATAAAGATAAATTAAAACAAATTAAGTAAAAACAAAAACAGCCACCAGTGCTTTGCTTTAATAAATGTTTATTTAGTGTCTGCTATGTACAAGGCACTGTGTTTGTGCCATGAATAAGCAGATGAACAGGCGTAATCCTTGCCCTTAACAAGCTCAAAGTCTAGCATGGGAAACTAGACATGTAACCAATAAGTATCATAAAGTGACAGATGCCAGGAGACTGATCTTACGAGAACCCAGAGGAAGAAAATAGTACTTTTGGAGAATAAGTAATAGATTAGAGAGGTGCCTTAGAAGTAGGGGATCTAAAGTGACAGATGTAGATAGGAGAAAATAGAGAAAAAAGTAATCCAGGAAGACTATAATTAAAGCCAGAAGCAGGAGGACCTGGCTAAGTGATGGAGGCGGGAGGGGTCCAGCTGGGCTGGAATAAGTAGGGTGGGTATAGGGGTGGGGCAGGAAAGCTGGAAAGATGTGTTGGGCTCAGCTAAGGATGGTTGTGTATGCCCGGCAAAGCCGTGTCAATGGAAGTTTTTATAAAGAGGTGACGTGCTCTGAGCCCTGCTCCCTATTCATCTAGTGACAATGGATAGTGACTTTACAGGAGGAATTGAGGGAAGGAGGTCAGTTTAAAAAGAATCACGGGCGTCTGGACTAGAGGAATAAGGCAGTGACAATGAGAAGGAAGAAGATGCAGGGGAAGGCGGAGACAGAATCGACAGCTGGCAGGGCTAAATTCTGAAAGGGCGGGGATATGGAGGTGGGAGGGTGGAAGAAGGCGGCAGTTTTGTACCCAGAGACGAGAGTAATCCATTCACAGAGCTGGGAAAACCCAGGGGAAAAGGTTTGACTCTGGGAAAAGGAGGGGAGAGGTGAGCCTGGACGCTGGCGGCCGTCGGGGGCAGGGTCAGCAGGCAGTCGCAAGTTCAGGGTCGGGGTCTGAGCTGGAAACAGGCCGGGAAGTCGTCCGTGCAGTGGCGAGAGCGGAGGCTGCGCTGAGCTGGCCCTGCCTCGCCACAGAAGGATGCTCTGAAGTACCAGCTATTGTCACATGTTCCTTAAACGTGGAGTTCTCACGGAAATGTCACAGGTATGATGATGCATCATACGAGAAATGCGGTTTCTCTGTGCTCCCCCGTCTTCACTCCTGGGAAACGTCTTCAGGTCTGAGTCCAAGCAGGCGAGGGGCCTCCACTGTGGAGGGTCATTCTGAAAAGACTGACTCCAATGAGAGTTTCTGAAACTTTTCACTATCACTTACTTTGAAGAGGTTTCTGTAACAAAATTAGTGTTCTAAGGATTTCAGGGAAGCTCCCGATGGACCCTACCCACTGAGCGCCCGAGCGGTCAGCACTGCCTCCCTCATTGCACAGATGAGGGACGGAGCCTCAGGCAGGCCAGGCGGCTTGCTCGGCGTGGCACGCGGCAAGGATGGCAAAGCCGGAGCCACAAGCGGGACAGGGCGCTTTTCTCTTCCACAGCGTGTCCCTGGGTGCCAGCTACCGTCTAACCAGAGACAGACGGGTAGTAAGCAGGTGGGAGGGCAGATAGATACCGGCGATTGACAGGTAAACCGGTAGGTACACAAGTACATAACTAAGCGAGAGTGGCTGAGAATAACACATCTACCTTGTAACCCCTTTTTCCAGTTGGGAAAAGAGAAAACGGCTTCTGACAGAAGGGCATGTTTTTTGGACCCACCAATGCCTTGCACACCTGAAAGGGAAATTACCCTTTCTTGAAATATTTAACTACACATCACAAAACACAATTAGGCAGTAGTACTACTAGGCATGGCACTGAAGCAGCTGTAGAGCGAGCCCGCAGAGGCGACGGCACTCGGGGCGACACGTGCGCACCTCCCGGGGAGGCAGCGCAGGGCACAGGCCAGCCAGGGCCAGGCCCCGGGGGGTTTCATCCGTCACAGAGGCACCTGCCCCGGTAGTTCCCTCTGGAAAAGCTCTCCGAGGAATCCTTAGAACTGAGTTCCAAATCCATCCATTTACACAGGAGACAGAGAAAAAAGACAATTCCGTTCCCAACACTGAAGTCCCAAATACGCAGGCAGAGTTCCCATGAGCCACGTCACAGTCAACTAGCCTGAGAACATCAGCAATGTCCCCAATAATCTGGAAATACACACCCTATCGATTTTATAATGAACGGTTCCCTTTACTAAAGGCTGCGTCAACACCCCCCCCCCCCCC